GGGGTCTGTGTGACGAATGCCCCGAATCTTTCCACCGGTGAATAAAACGTCAACGTTTCTGTTCCCGAGCTCAATCCGCTCATCGTGATGAGTTATGGCGGCGCGCTTACATGAGAGGGACGCGGGCCGATTGATTTTCTGTCTGTGGGGGCTGCGGCTCTGCAAACATTCGTTTTACTCTGCTCCCGGCGGCGGCGCTGCGTCTCATGCGTGCGAATTGTGTCGTGCCGCAGGAAGACACTCAACGCTCCTCTTCACATTTCGGTTTTATGTCCAGAAATGGCCGCGGGGCGATCCCGCCATTGTTTTACCTTTTTATCTTAGTATTGGATGTCGTAAACATACCAGTGGGGGCGGGGCTTGGAGGGATATAGGAGATTGTCACACTACAGAAATGTATTCAGTGATCTCACAGAGGAGGGAATGTGTTGGGGGGTTTTTTGTAGCCCGTGGAGCGTGCATCGAAAAACATCCCCTGCGAGCTAAAAAACTGAACCCTGAAATCACAACACACACAAAAAAAAGTGCACGAGGGTGCCATTGGTCCTCCTCCAAAGAGGAAGAGCCACGATTTCCTGATCCCCCGCAGCGCAAGGCTCCTGACAGGGACAAGAACGACTTAGGTCCACCTACACGAAGGCCAGGCGGACCCCGATCCTCTGGGACCTGTCGAAACAGGTCCACCGAGTACTAGGTAGAGGCTCCCCCGAAGGACGACCCCCGAGTGGGAGGAGTCAGGGAAGACCGTAGAGGCCGCAGAACCTCCTTCCCAACTTCAGGACGGCCTGCCAGGTTTGTGCACTGGCACTTATTTATTTAAAGGAGAACTATGAGGGGGGGAGGGGGGAGTGCTTTTCACTCACCTCATAATTCTAGCCGACCTGTGACAATGAGACTGTCACAGGTCGGCTCAGTAGATCGGGAGGTGAGCGAACACATACCGGCGTTCGCTCACCTCTCGATCCTGTCACGGCTCTCTGCCATGACAGGGGGAGGGGCTGGATTCCCCCCTCCCCGCTCCGATCCGCCAGCGCTGACTGGCAGAACGGACGGGGGAGGGGGCGGGTACAGCTGGCTCTGCCTCTAGATAGGCAGAGCCAGCTGTCACTCATGCAGCTGGGCGGATCCCGGCACAATTGTCGGGATCCGCTCCGGCTGCGGCGTCTCAGTATACCGCGAGCTGTAGCTCCCTATATACTGAGCTTAGGGTGACGGGAGGACGCTAGTTTGTGTCCTCCCGTTACCCTAAGGAGAACTATGAGGAAAAGACTACACCCCATAGTTCTCCTTTAAGCACTATTTTTATGCACGGATGCACTTTTTGGACAATTTCATGCTCCCAACTGGGAGGAGTTTTGGGACGGCCCCTTCCTGTTCCAACATGGCTGCGCACCAGTGCACAAAGCAAGGTCCATAAAGACATGGATGGGGGAGTTTGGGGGGGGGGAATGTGACTGGCCGCACAGAGTCCTGACCTCAACCCCATAGAACGCCTTTGGGATGAATTAGAGGCGGAGA